ATATATATATATATATATATATATATATATATATATATATATATATATATATATATATATATTAAGTATCACTTAATATTTATAAAGTGTGAATATGACTAAATCCACTTTGGGGGATCTCTATTATTCCAAAGTCGTGAGATATATATTATTTAATTAAACATAAATTAATTAAAAAAAGAAAAATAGATATGTGAAAAACAATAAGTAACATACTCGACGAATGAACAAAATTAATTGATGTTCGTGTGTTTACGGTCACTGTCGATGATAAGTTATTCGTTTTGTTCTTATAAAATATAAGCGTATTTACGTGCGATACGAAGTGACATAGAACAAAGTACAATGGAAAGAAAGAAAGTGTTTCGGATAATACGCTAATTATAAATATAAATATATGATTGATATGTTTTTGTCCATTTAATAATCTTAAAACATATCCAACAGTTATTTTATAGCTTATTACTATTAAAATAAGTTTTTGTTAAGGTGAATATCGAATTGAAAGCAAATTTTCTTTTCTTTTTGGTATTTCTTCTATTATGTACATGTTATCTCTTGTCTCAATATCATTTAATTTTCATTTGATCCTTTTAATTATATTTTAAATTTTAAAACTTTATTCTATTTGACCAATTATTCAATTTTATTAAATTTACACAATATAATTGAACAATTTTTATATAGTTGAACAATATCAAATATGACAAATGTTATAAAAAAGAGTTTAGATGAGGGGTCTATAAAATATTTTAAATAACTATGGGTAAATATACAATTGTAAAAATAAAATTTTGAAAAACTTTTACATAGAAAATGATATTTAAATTAAATATAGATTTTTAAAAACTAAGTTATTAGAAATCCTATGTGGAAAAAAATCGTAACTATGTGATGCTCTTATGTTATGCATGGTATGGGTTGATGCATGTTTCTTTTCCTTTACTCCATATGCTATGGTATTAAAGTCTTTCTAAACTAAATGAAATACAGAACATTAACTACTAATTAAATGACATGCAAAAAAACTTATAACATGAGAATGATGTTTAGTTAAAAACTCGTTAATAATTATATATGATGTGGTCAAAAAATAATACGCCACAAGTTAACTCACCAAAGCTTGCTGACCGGAAAGTTGTGGAACCATCTTGCGCATTTTTGTTGCCTGTAACGACCGTAGAACCCATACCATCTCCAATGAACATCAAATTGTGCATTGTCTTCTTTATCTCTACATTCTCCTTGTACACACCAGCTTTCACGTGTATTACAAACCTTGAGTTTCCACTCCTAAGTTTAGGCACAGCAGAAATGGCCTCGGATATGGTCTTGTAGTTACCAGAGCCATCTTGGGCAACCACAATATCGGCTGAGGTGCCACCCGATGGTGTTGCAAGAAGCTTTCTATCTCTTTTTGACAACCATTTTGGGAAATCATTTGTTGTCATGAGTCTTCTCCCTTTTAGTTGTTTAGAAAAACTTACATGTGATAGAGTTATGGCTTTGTTTATTGCAAGAGAGTTGCTAAGGTATTTTGAGAAGCCACTTAAAGAAGATTGAAATGTTTGTAGATGCGAAGACAAGTTGAAGTCAAGAAAACCATTTTGACATGTTTCATGATTGGTGGACACAGAACTAAGCCACGTTAGGATATCGTGACTATTGGTAGAACCAAGAGAACGGTTTAGTTGATAAACAGAGTCTTCATATAACTCCAAACAGTCAGCCCAAGCCGACTTAGCCCTTGGTTCAAAGGAACTCAAGTCCATAGCCAAAACAAGCTTATGTGCATGCTCGGCTTGAGCCAAAGTAGACACAAGGGTCGCTTCACGAACCACTAATGGGGTTTCTTTACTAGTTCCAATCAAGGAAGTGCAAATTTCGGGATGAGGGGTTTGACTGCACACTGAAAAGGTGGCGGAAGGAGTAACACCATGAACAACTCCAAAAGGAGTGAACACGGTTAGAAAATGAAGAAAAGTGATGAACCCGAAAGCAGAGTAAGAGTTGATGATTTTAGCCATTTTTTAGTAGCTTGTTAAAAAACTGTTTTAAGATATGGAAGTTAACAAAAGAGAGGGTTTCTTTATATAGGCTTCAAATATCGCACTCAATGCCATGGGCCATGCATGATGCTTACGCATATAAAGAATCTATGGACTAAAGGCATGCAGCTTTCTACCTAATCAATTTTCAATTATCTAATTACCCTTTTGCGACAAAATTTTACCTCTATGTAGATAATATCTAATTAACTTTTTGACATTAAACTCTTAACCATTTATTAATAATTCTCCTACTTATAAATCGAGAAGACTATGGCAAAAACCTTTCCTTTTGTCTACGCCTTTGCAACTCATCTAGCAGCCAGTGTTTGACTTCTATCAAACCATTGTAAGGGACTTTGCCTGCACTTAAAACCAATTGGAAAAGGTTGGCTCAATATTCCATTATCCAACAAGAAAACAACAATTATTTGTAGTTGCAAACAAGCATTGCTTTGCTTTCTTTACTACAT